AGTAGAACTTGACCTTGCGCCAGCACATGGTGGCCGCGCAGTCTGGGCTGGCCGCCGCGGCGTCAGGCGAGACGACGCCCACGTCGAGGGTCAGGAGGCCGTTGCCGAAGGCACCAATTAGCACGCCCGCTGCATAGACAACACCCCAGGCGCGCTGAGCAGCAAGTGGCTGCACTTAGGAGGCGCGCGCCGCGAGGCCAGCACCACCGCGCACTGACAATGCGCAAGTGTGCTCCCCACCAGCGAGTCCTGAAAGACAGAACAGCTGCCACTGACGGAACTTCTCTGTCCCGGACTGCCATGGCCAAGGGTGCACAGGTTGCCGCGTGGCCGCGTGCCTAGATCGAACGGCACAGCGAAAGGCGTAAACATCATCTTGCGGCAGAAGGCACATCAAACGTGTCAGCGTGCCTGGAGCTACGCACTCTGGGCATCGCGCGCCCGAGCGCGAAGGCGTACAGCATGCACCAGATCGTGTGACAACAGGTCTCGTTGTCAAGTGAGTGGTGCAGCTCTGCCCCGAGTGTTTGTCAATCGTACTCAACATTGCTACCTTGTTGAGTCAATGAACGGGCGGCGCGCCTGCAGTGAAGCTGACAAGTGGTCGCGGCAAAGGCCGCACGTAGTGTAGCACGCAGGCGGGACCATAGGCCGCACGCGGCATGACCCCAATAGGTGCCAGCGGCAAGCCTGGACGCATCATCCTGGGAGAGATTCGGTGTAAATGGTCGAAGCATTCGTCGAACTCCGCATCGAGGTAAAACTGGATAACGCCGCGCGCCACCCCGGAGTTGCCGAGCTGGTTGAAGGGGCGGATGGAACGAAGAACCCAACTGAACAATGGTCGTGGCATAGCTGTCGTGCTGGTTGCTTGTGGACGTGGTGTCAGCAGCGCTCGATGGATGCGTGTCTGGCCGCTTGCGGCCCAGTCGGGACAAAAACATGCATCGGCGACTTCAGGCTGGTGATAAGTAGCATGCTGCTCCCGAGCGCCAAGACGGAGATCTTTCTCGATCAGACTCCTCCACGATGAGGAGCTGCGGAAGCGCCTTGGGACTCGGGCCGCGCAGGGGCGAACGCCATGTTGAAGCAGGTGGCAACAGTAATGGGGCTGTTGTCCTTCACTGGCGCCAAGGGTGGTGAGATTAGCGTGTGTACGTTCAGTGATCCACTCGTGTGGTGCGACGTGCTCGCACAGAGGACAGCCAGCACTGCCACACGCATCACGAAGCACGGTACTGGCCCAGACAGGCGGCTCGCTGTCATTCCCGGGCCGAAGTCATTCCCGACGCGAAGCCACGGCCAGTATCTGTGGGTTGCGAGGACTGCGGACACAAATCTCCCGGCGCCTTCAGCTGTTGTTGCCCTCGCTGAATTCCTCACGTCTCGTCCGGTCTGGCGTTGGCCTCATCGTATCAGGACTTGCAGAGCCATGAACACAAAACTGTTCAGGGAACGGAGGGTGTCGGCATTGAAAAGATTGGGGGGATGCCCATGTGCGTCCACATCGCACTCTGCGCATTCCGTGGGTCTGGGATCGCTCCCAGCTCCGCTGCCAATTAGAAATGCGGGTGGCAATGACAAGTAAGAGACATGGCGGCACTGGTAAGAGCATAGCGGCGGTCCTCCTCCCTTTCCGTTGTTAGTCCGCACGCACGCTGCAAGCCAGAATGGCAGCGGGCATGCACGCGTGCTCCTATTCGAATGAAGGAAAAGCCTGCAAGAAGGAATGATGCACCTGTAGGAGGAGCACGTACAATGGAGGGGGGAGGAGGAGGAGGAATAGAAAGAGGGATGCAAGGAGGAGAAAGGCTGCGGTGGCACTGAGGTCCTCAACTCTCCTTTGCCCAGTTGGAGGGCCTGAAGCAACTTGTTGCGCAGTTGGCGATCCAATGAGCCTCCTGGGCCAAGGGCATCGATACTCGCCACGAAGCTCGAGGAAGAGGGGAGAGGAGGAGAGAGAGCCGCCGGGAGAGGGGCGCGCTGCCAAAGCAGAAAAAAGCAGCATGCCACATGACCTTTCGGAGCTCCGCGTGGATTCCTTAGGTCGGCGCTGGATCCCCCTCCCAGCATCAGTGCTCGAATCGAAATGTGCGTCGGACCGGGCTGCATCGGCACGGAGCCAGAATCGAATCGGGTCGGCGGCGCCATGCAAGCATCGGGCCGCAGCGAATCGCTGGAATGTCCGAATCTACTCCGACGGGGGCGGCCGAAATCGATATCCATGAAGGGGCCCTGGGACACACAAATAAATGGGCACAAATCACAGGATTCCCCATCTTTGCCCATATTTCCCAACCATCCTGTGGTGTTGGGTCCTCGTTTTGAAGAGACGGTGCCCCGCGTTCCTTCCTTCCTCCTTCCTCCTCCTCCCCCCAGTGGCAAGGTTCGCATGGCGGCCCCGCCCCATTTTGGCGCACCCCTCACACAGTTCGTGGCCCCATAGGGAGCTCCACCGAAGGCCCCAGTGGCAGGGTTCGCATGGCGGCCCCGCCCATTTTGGCGCACCCCTCACACGGTTCGTGGCCCCATAGGGAGCTCCACCGAAGGCCCCAGAGGCAGGGTTCGCATGGCGGCCCCGCCCCATATTGGCGCACCCCTCACACGGTTCGTGGCCCCCATAGGGAGCTCCACCGAAGGCCTCAGTGGCAGGGTTCGCATGGCGGCCCCGCCCCATTTTGGCGCACCCCTCACACGGTTCGTGGCCCCATAGGGAGCTCCACCGAAGGCCCCAGTGGCAGGGTTCGCATGGCGGCCCCGCCCATTTTGGCGCACCCCTCACACGGTTCGTGGCCCCATAGGGAGCTCCACCGAAGGCCCCAGTGGCAGGGTTCGCATGGCGGCCCCGCCCCATTTTGGCGCACCCCTCACACGGTTCGTGGCCCCATAGGGAGCTCCACCGAAGGCCCCAGTGGCAGGGTTCGCATGGCGGCCCCGCCCCATTTGGCGCACCCCTCACAGGCCCCAGCTCAGCCAGGGTTCGCATGGCGGCCCCGCCTCATTTGGGCGCACCCCTCACACGGTTCGTGGCCCCATAGGGAGCTCCACCGAAGGCCCCAGTGGCAGGGTTCGCATGGCGGCCCCGCCTCATTTGGGCGCACCCCTCACACGGTTCGTGGCCCCATAGGGAGCTCCACCGAAGGCCCCAGAGGCAGGGTTCGCATGGCGGCCCCGCCCCATATTGGCGCACCCCTCACACGGTTCGTGGCCCCGTAGGGACATAGGGAGCTCCACCGAAGGCCTCAGTGGCAGGGTTCGCATGGCGGCCCCGCCCCAGTGTGTTGCACCCCTCACACGGTTCGTGGCCATATTGGGAATTCCTTTTGCTTCGTCCCACCTGCCCTGCGGTATTAACGTCTGCATATGGTTGGGTCCTTCGCCAGGATAATTTTTCTGGGCTTTTGTCTCCCCCCCCCACTTCCCGCACTTTTCCACATGTTCCTGGGAATCGATGATTCATTGTGTCTGTGTGTTCTTTCCCCTCCCGAGTCCAGGCGGGTCGGCCACATCGAAGTGGGCCCTGCCCTCCCGCGGGCGCGGGGAGCGCCCCCCCCGGGGCGGCGCCGGCCCCCGACATCCGCCCATGGATTTTTTGTTGTTCACTCGGAGATGGACAGACCTCCCTTTCTGAAGGGGCCCCAGGACACACAAAGAAATGCACACAAATAAAACTATGCCCCACATGTTCCCATATCTTCTGGGTTTCTGTCTTCCCCCCCCCACTTCCACTATTCTCCCATATTTTCTGGGGACTCGACGATGAATTGTGTCTGTGTGTTTCTTTTCCTCCTGACTTTAGCAAAACGCGGTTTAGTGAAAACGACCTCGGGCCCAAACCTGGCGGGCGCAAGCCTGGAAGAGGACGGCCGCGGCGCCCTCTCGAGAACCGAGAACGGGCAATGCACTCATCGGCGTGTCAGGGTAGGAGGTCTGCCCACCCCCGATTCCATCCGCACCGCGTCCCCAAGGCTGGCTTGTCGTCCTGGATCCGTTTTGGACGGCCCGGGGCCTGATGAGCGGCCGACCACCGAGGGAAAGCCGCCGGCTGAAGAGCACAGCGTCGGAGCTCTGGGACTTGCGGCCACCGGGGCGAGCCCCACCCCTGCGGGCCCCATCGGCGACGGGGGATCGGACGCCCCCGCTGCAGGGCTCACGTGGCTGCCGACGCCCGTCCAAGTCTAACGCCCCAGCCCGCTTTTCGGAGATCTTCGGAGAAGGAAAAGGTACCCATACCGCTACCTTTCGGCCGCTTTCCCCTTTTTGGGCCTCCTGGGACGCCCTCGTCGCCACCGCTGGATTCGCCCCGAAATAATCCTGGTCAGAACGCACCCCAGGAGAGGTCCAGTGAGTATAGCGGTATGGGTACCTTCTGGTTTCCCCAGATCTGACCTGCAGGGGTAGGGTTCGCGTGTGGCTGCTCATGGGGGAGGCGCCGCCCAGAGGGCCCGCAGCGCAGAGATCCGAGAAGTGCGCGAGGGCAGCCCCCGCTGAGGTCCCGACGTTGCGAAGCCTTGCCGCACCGCGAGACAAGTCACCCCCAGAGCCCTGGACCACATCTTCCTGCGGCATGCTTCGAGCCCGATCGATCCGTGACCGTCCCGGGGCCCGAGACTCGGCGAAACCGCCTGCTAGGGCAAAAACTGCAACGCTTGGACTCCAGCGTGTCTTCCAACATTTGGTTTTCGGATCATGGTTCCGGCCTCCGGCGGCTGGTCGGGACGATCCAGGCGCCTCCAGAGCGCCCTCGGCGAGGCGCGGCTGCTGGAACACATCCCGAGGCTGGAAAACCGCCGAGGACCGACGCAGGCGCCCGAAGACGACGCCAGGAGCTCAGGATGTGCGGTCCGAAAAGTCATGTGCCTCGGCCGCTCTTCCCTCTCCGGGTGCTGCGGCGGCGGCGTCACCGCGCGGCGCCGCGGCGGCGCCCCCGCGCCAGGCTGGGAGGCGCCCGGCGCGGCCTTCTGCCTGGGCGGCGGCGGCGTCCGCGCGCGCGGAGGCGCGTCCCCGCTGCGGCTGCCGCCGCCCAGTGGCGCCGCCTCCCGCCGCGCGAAGGGTGCGCCGCAGCCGCTGGCGAAGGCCACGGGGGGCTCGGGGGCGAGGCCTGGGGGGGGGGGGGGGGCGGAAAGGTCGAGGCTCGAGGTGTGGGGGAATGTCGAAGGCTGGGGAATGTCGAGGCTCGAGGTGTGGGGGGGGAAAGGCCTGGGGGGGGGAAGGTCGAGGCTCCTTCGTCGCGCTGCCCAGCCTCGGGGTGCTCTCTCCGGCAGAGCCGCGCCTCGCCGAGGGCGCCCCGCGGGCGCCCGGAGTGTTGTCCCGAACCGAGCGGCCGCCAGGAGGCCCGCGCGGGGCGGCCCGAAAGCAAAACCTGGCAGGGAAACGCAGAGATCCTGGCGTCGCATTTTTGCGCTGGGCGCCGCACGTGGGCTGCTCCGCACTGTCACGAGCCACTGGATGTTTCGAAAATGAATACTACGGATCGACCGAAAATGAACACACACACACACACACACACACACACACACACACACACACGCACATGACCCCCACAAAACCTGGCAGGGAAGCACGGAGATCCTGGCGTCGCACGTTTGCCTCCGCGGGCGGTTTTGCCGTGTCGCTTCGGCTCCGGCTCGGGAGGTGCCGCAGGGAGACGCGGTCAAGGGCTTTGCTCGCGATGTCTCGCGATGCTACTTTGTCCGCGGCGTCGGATCTCAGGGTGGGGGAAGAGCATGAGGGGGGGACTTTAGCATTAGCAGGCAACTCCTGGGAGATTTTCGTCAGAACGATTCAGGAACGATCAGGGGCTGGTAAGCCGATTAAGGGGGCACTGAGCTGGACAGGCTGGATTAAGCCCGAGATTACAGGCCAGAAGCTGAGCGGGATCAAACTGGACGAAGCTGGATTCAGCCGGACTGGGCTGGATTAGGCCAGTTCTCGACCAGAGATTTACCATCGCCGATTCAAAGTTCAACCTCCCAAGAGTTGCATCCAGTGGGACCGGTAGGGGGCCAGGCCTGGGGGCCCAGACGTGCTCGGGACGCGCAGCCTTCTTTAATCGCCTTCGGCCTCCGGAAGCCCTCGCCGGGCCCCAGGGCTATCAAAAAACGGCTCGGGATGAGAAGCTGGTCCTGGGGGAGGGGTCGACACGTCTAGGGGCCCCGCTTTCAGACAAGACATATCGAGGCATCGGCTCTCCGGGCGAAGAGCACGAGGGGGGACGAGAAGGGGGGGCCAGCTCGAGGCTCAGGGGGGGAGCCTTGACCCGGCACTGGGTCGGTGCTAGAGCTCCTCCTTCTCTTCTTCTTCCCCTTCTTCTTGTTCTTCTTCTTCTTATTACTATTATTATTATTATTCTTCTTATTCGTATTATTATTACTACTACTACTACTATTCTTATTACTCTTCTTATTATTATTATTATTAGTATTATTATTATTATTATTATTATTATTACTATTATTATTATTCTTCTTATTATTATTATTATTCTTCTTCTTCTTCTTTTTCTTATTATTATTCTTCTTCTTCTTTCCCATGTTTGGCATGAACTGCAAATTTGCGTCGTGCGCGTGGTTTTTGTTCTGAGGGGGGGCCCGCACCGATCCAAAAGACAGGGCGCCCGCGCGGTCCTCCGAGGCGGACTTTCTGGGGTCGGTGCTGGGGTCGCTCGCGCGCGCCGCGCGCCTGGGGAGGCGGGGCCCGCGGCCGGGGAGCAGCCGCCGAAGCACGCCTCTGGGCTCGAGGGCGCCCGCGGCAGCTGGGCCCCACACGCCCCCCCCCCCCCGCGCATGGACAATGAGTTCGAAGCCTGCGGCGCAAGATTTTTTTTTTCCGATGAGGACACAGCAGCTGAGGGCCCCTTAAACGCGACCCGGGGGCGAGGAGCCACGAAGACTTTCGGCGACAGCCGAACGCCTTATGTACACTATGGTACCAGCCCTCTACTCAAAAGCGTTCTGACCGAGCCTCGAACCCTGCGGCGCAAGATGCAGAGTCCCCGAATTGATACTGAGGGTGCGGCAGAACGGAGGGGGCTGGAGGGGGCGAAAACCTTCGAGGCCCAGAAAACAAGCACCCCTGCCAAAATCAGCACTGATGTCGGGGGCGGGGTGGTGCTCAGAGTCCCCCTTCGAGCGCTGCAGGGTTCGAATCAATGCCCATGTACTGTTCCATCTCGGGCCAGGTGGGCTTTGGCACAAGGAATCGTCATCGGAAAGTGGACGAACCAAGCTTTCCAGTCCCTCTGCCTGGGCAACGAGTCGTAGGCATTGATCCGGGAAGGCGTGATGTGCTTGCTTTGGTGAGGAACCAGGAAGAGGATCCACCCTTCACAATCTCAACTAAAAGCATGGACGTGGACACCCATGTGTTGTCCCATCTCGGGTCAGATGGGCTTTGGCCTCCGCCGCGGCGGGGTGCGCGCGTGACCTGGCCAGGGCCAGGGCAGGCGGGGGCCAGGCGCCGATCCGAGAGGCCCGCGCGGCCCTCCGAAAGCCTGTGCCCGTGCAATTTGTTCGACTGCCGTCGAGGAGCTCGGCGGCCTTTTCGACGGCAGCTCGACGGCCTTTTCGACGGCAGCTCGACGGCCTTCGACGGCCTCTCGACGGCCTTCGACGCCGTTCTCTCGACGGCCTTCGACGCCGTTTTCGGGGGGTTGGTCTCATCAGGGACGGCCAAGAGGGGGGCGTCCAAGAGGGGGGGGGGTGCAAATCGTGGCCGGCGGCATGTGCACGGCCCAATGGGGAGCCAGGGACGTAATGAAACAAGAAGAGGCGCCGTGAAATCTGGGGAAATATCATGGCCCACGCCATGATACCCACCCCCCCCTACCCAGAGATCCGATGTCGTGATTTTTTCAATACGTGGTCCCCAGAAGTCTCGACCCATTCCCTGGGACCGGTTTCTCATCCTGAGTCGTTTTTTGACGGTCCCGGGGCCCGGCGAGGGCCCCTCGAGGCCGAAAGATAGAGAAAACCTCCGTCCTGATTTTTCCGTCACGTTGGATCTCTGGGTAGTCATCGCCCCCCCCCTCTCTGCCGCCCCCGGTGGTCCCGGCGGCCTTCGAGGAGCTCCTCGACGCCGGGGCCCCACTCCTCCACGGCGCCCACGCGCTCGACGTGGCGCAGCAGGGCCTGGCTCCGCCGCCGGGGCGCCTCTGGCCACGGGCTCGCCTCCTCCAGGGGGGGGAGCAGCCGGAGGCGGAGGCTGCTGAGCTGCACGTGCGGAAGGGGCCCTGGGACGCACAAAGGAGTACACACAAATGAAGGTATTCCCCATATTTCCCAATGTTTTCTGGGTTTCTGTCTTCCCCCCCACTTCCCATATTTTCCCACATTTTCGGGGGAATCGACGGTTCACTCTGTCTGTGTGTTCCTCTCCCTCCTGACGTGCAGTCGGACTTCACTGGACAGGACACGCGAGAGGGCACAAAGACCCTTCCCGGGGCCACGTCGCCACAGGAGCGTCAGAGGGCGCGCGTCGCGAGGCACGGGGCACAGTGGGTGCCCTTGAGCTGGCAGGGGTCGAGCTGCAGAGCCGCACGTGCAGTCGGGGCGTGGACCTAAGGAACCCCAAATACAGTCATCGGCCTGACCTAAGGAACGATAAATAAGGAACGAAGCCCCTGTTTTCCAAGGGAAGAAAGCATAAGGAACGACAAATAGTAAACAAAAAAAACGCATCAGGAAGGATGCGTAACGCATGCAAGCCTCAAGGAACGACCGAGCCCCTTTTGAAAAGGAAGTGTTCTTCACTCAAGCCGCTCACTGTAAGGAACGGGGCCCCTTCCTCCCAGAAGTTGAGCTTCGATTTCCCATGGAGAACCTCCGGAAAGCTGAAGGCAAACTGCAGAACCATCAAGGAACGCCGAGCCCCTCCCCAACGAAAAGGAGAAGGGTTCCTTCTTCAGGGCCCCGACTGTAGAGGCCTCCCAGAAGGGGTCCGAGTTGAAAGGGTCGAGGGATCGCGCCGCATCGGTGATGCATCGGCGATGCATCGGCGGTGGCGGTGCGGAGGAAATCGGCCTCCACATCGAGCCGCTTCGGCGATGCATCGGCGATGCGGCGCGATCCTTCGGCCCCACCTGCTCGGACCCTATTTGGGAGGCCTAGAGCATAAGCATAAGCTCTCGGAGGTCCGCGCTGGTTTCTGGGCTTGGCTTGACGTGTGCGAAGCGCGCCAGGGGCGGCGTCGGAGGCGCCGTCCGCGGGGCCCCTGCGCCGAGCCAAGAAGTCCGCGCGGACCTCCGAAAGTCTATTTTTTTGTGCAGCTCCCGTCGAGGAGGAGGAGGAGGCGCCACAACTGTACTGCCGACTCACGGTCGCTCCTCTCCTCTCCCTCCCCTCTGCCACTTGGTGCTGCTACGCTTCAGGGATTCATCTGTATCGCTCCAAATTCCAATCCAAACCCCAACATCCGCTCTCTCGATTGTTTCCATACGGGGTCCCCGGAAGCCCCTACCCCTTCCCCGAGGCCTGCTTTTTCGACGACCCCTCGGCCCGGCGAGGGCCCCCCCCCCTGGCCGAACACGTGCAATACCCAAGTACGATTCCTGCGCGATTTTTTTGTTTTGCTTTTCGACCCTCGCTGGCCGTCGCCTCTGGAACTCCCGACCCCTTCCCCAGGGCTAAGTGTTTGCTAGGAGGAGGAGGCGGAGGAGGAGGAGGCGGAGGGGGGAGGGGGGGGGGACACGGCTACCTTTGCAACCTGGTTTTGTACCCGACAGGAGGCCAGCAGTTCACTAGCAGGTACGGAGACTGGGGAAACCCGTCTCTTTGCCTCCCGACCCCTTCCCCACGGCTAAGTTTGCGTCGCAGGTGTGTTCTGCGACTGTCACTGCGCCCGAGGACGGCCCCCGAGGGCCGAAAGCCAAGAAAATAACGCCAGTCGGAATAAAAAACAGACGGTCGGAAAAAACAGACCGCCGGAAAAGCCGCTGGCTCCTCCTCCTCCTCCTCCTCCTCCTCCTCCTCCGCCTCCTCCTCCTCCTCCTCCTCCTCCTCCTCCTCATCTCATCATCATCATCATCATCATCATCATCATCATCATCATCAGCAGCAGCAGCATCATCATCATCATCATCATCATCATCATCGGTCGTCGTCGTCGTCGTCATGATCATCATCATCATCATCATCATCATCATCATCCACCACCACCATCATCATCATCACCATCATCATCATTATCGTCGTCGTCGTCATCATCACCATCATCATCATCATCATCATCATCACATCACCATCATCATCATCATCACCATCATCATCATCACCATCATCATCGTCGTCGTCGTCGTCATCATCATCATCATCATCGTCACCATCGTCGTCGTCATCATCATCATCATCATCATCACCATCATCATCATCACCATCATCATCATCACCACCATCATCATCATCATCATCGTCATCGTCGTCGTCATCATCATCATCATCGTCGTCGTCGTCATCATCATCATCAGCATCACCATCATCATCATCATGATCATCATCATCATCATCGTCGTCGTCGTCGGCATCATCATCATCATCATCATCATCATCATCATCATCATCATCATCATCGCCATCACCATCACCATCACCATCACCATCACCATCACCATCATCATCATCATCATCATCGTCATCGTCGTCATCATCGTCGTCGTCGTCATCATCATCATCATGATCATAATCATCATCATCACCATCACAATCACCATCACCATCACCACCATCATCATCATCATCATCATCATCATCATCACCATCACCATCACCATGACCATGACCATCATCATCATCCTTTTCATCAGCATCATCATCACCATCACCATCACCATCACCATCATCATCATCATCACCATCACCATCACCATCATAATCATCATCATCATCATCATCACCATCACCATCACCATCACCATCACAATCACCATCACCATCATCATCATCATCATCACCATCACCATCACCATCACCATCATCATCATCATCATTATCATCATCATCACCATCATCTCATCATCATCATCATCATCAGCAGCATCAGCAGCATCAGCATCAACATTAGCATCAGCACCAGCATCAGCCAAGAAAAAAAACGCCGGTCGGAAAAAAACAGACTGTCGAAAAAAAACAGACCGTCGGAAAAGCCGTTGGAGGCCTGGCATCTCGAGATCTGACGTGGCGAGAAGAATTGCACCGCGTGAGAAAACACGGCCAGAACCCTGGACCCCACCTTTGAGCCCCATGTTTCGATGTGAGGGTCCCGGGGCCAGAACTGGATGAAAACGCCCAGCTCAAAAAATTGAGACGCCAAGATCTCGGTGTCCAATCCGTTGGTGCCGTTTTGTCCGTCGGAATTGTCCTCTTCGTCGCCCTCCTCCTCCTCCTCCTCCTCCTGTTCCTCCGCCTCCTCCTCCTCCTCCTCCTTCTCCTCCTCCTCTTCCCTGCTCCTCCTCCTCTTCCCTGCTCCTCCTCCTCCTCATCATCATCAGCAGCATCAGCATCAGCATCAGCATCATAATCAGCATCAGCATCATCAGCATCAGCATCAACATCAGCATCATCATCATCATCATCATCAGCAGCAGCACCATCATCATCATCATCAGCAGCACCATCATCATCATCATCATCATCATCATCATCATCATCATCATCATCATCATCATCATCATCATCATCGTCGCCATCGTCATCGTCATCGTCATCGTCATCATCATCAGCATCATAATCAGCATCATCAGAATCGTCGTCGATCGTCATCATCGTCATCATTATCCTTATCGTCACCATCATCATCATCATCAGCATCATCATCATCGTAATCATCATCATCCTCGGCATCAGCATCAGCATCATCCTTTTCATCAGCATCATCATCGTCCTCATCAACAGCAGCATCATCATCATCATCAACATGAGCATTATCATCATCCTCATACGCATCATAATGATCAGCAGCAGCATCGTCATCCTCATCCGCATCGTCATCATCATCAGCATCATCAGCGTCAGCATCATTATCATCATCATCCTCAGCATCAGCGTCAGCGTCGCCATCATCGTCATCATCGTCAGCAGCATCAGCATGAGCATCCTCAATACCATCATCATCATTATCATCAGTCTCATCCTCCTCCTCCTTATCATCAGCATCGTCATCAACATCATCATCATCGTCATCATCATCAGCATCCTTATCAGCAGCATCACCATCATCATCATAATCATCATAACCACCATCATCAACAACATAATCATCCTCATCAGCAGAATCAGCATCATCATCATCCTAATCAGCTTCAGCAGCAGCATCGCCATCATCATCATCATCATCATCATCATCATCACCACCACCATCAAAATAATCATCATCACCATCATCATCACCATCATCATCATCATCCTCATCATCATCGTCATCGTCATCGTCATCGTCATCATCCTTCTCTTCCTCCGCCTCCTCCTCCTCCCTCCTTCTCCCTCCTCCCCTCCTCCTCCTCCTCCTCCCCCTCCTCCTTATCCTTATCCTCCTCCTCCTCATCTTCGTTCTCCTCCTCCTCCTCCTTTCTCCTCCTTCTCTTCCTCCTCCTCTTCCTCCTCCTCCTTGCTCCCTCCTAGTTAGCGCTTGGGCTGACCTCCTTCCTCCCTTCCTCACCCTCCTCCTCCTCCTCCTCCCCCTCCTCCTCCTCCTCGTCTGTTTCGTCTTCTTAGTATGATCACGATCGTCTTACTATTCTTCTGTTTCTCAATATTATTCGTCGTCCTTTTCATATTAATACTATTATTACTATTTGGTTAATATTAATACTACTGTTCTTCTCATTTCGATGTTGATGTTCGTGTTCTTCCTAGTCCTATAGTTATCAGTATGATAATTCGCATTCGTCGTATTATTCGTCCTATAAGTATCAGTATTACTATCATTATTATCATTGTTATTAGTGTTGCTATGCTTGTCCATGTTTGTTTGTAGTATTATTATGTTTCGAAGCATTGTCGTTGCTATTGTAATTAAGTTTATGCTTATGGTTATTCCGCCTCCTCCATCCTGAATCCTCCACATCCTTCATCCTCCATCCACCATCCATCCTCCTCCTCCTCAGCCTCCTCGTCCTCATCCTTCTCCTCCTCATCCTTCCTCCATCCTCCATCCTCTCCTCCTCCTCCTCCTCCTCCTCCTCGTCCTCCTCCTCCTCCTCCTCCTCCTCCTCCTCCTCCTCCTCCTCCTCCTCCTCCTCCTCCTCCCCCTCCCCCGTGCATTTCACGGCCCATGGGACAAAACAGTTGGCGGGTCAGCCGAAGCCGCCGGCTGGTTGGACGAATTGGAGTCAGAGCTAGCTTTGCATCAGGGTTTCCAGGTCGCCGGCCTGTTGTTGGATCTTTGTAAGTTTTACGATTCGGTTAACTTGGCCGATCTTGTGGACGCGGCAACTGAGCTTAACTACCCGCTCAGGCTTCTGGCTCTCGCCCTTGATTCTTATTTGGGGGTGAGGATCTTGACGATGTCAGGTTGCATACACAAGGGGGTCCTGCCGAGCGGCGGCATCCTTCCAGGCTGTGGCCAGGCCGTTTCCTTGGCCAGGGCTTTCTTGCATGCTCCTCTCGATGCTGCCTCCAAATCGGTGTCTGGACAGTCATTGCGGGAATGGGTTGATGACATATCCTGTCGCTTGTACGGTACGCATGCTTCTCTTGTTGCCACTTTTCCTGTTTTGCTTGGGACACTTCTGACTGGTCTGCGCCAGCGGAAGGCCCAACTCTCCCTCGATAAATGCGGAGTGTTGGCCTCGTCCGTGAGCCTTCGTCGCGAGCTCGTCTCGTTGGTGCGTGAGGATGGATTCGGTGAGATCAAGGGTCTTGCGAATGCCCGTGACATGGGCCATGACACCAGCTTCGGCGCTAGACGGACGGTTGTTGTCCGGCGCGCTCGCAGGAACGCTGGTAGCAAGGCGTCGGCTAAAATCAACCGCCTTTCATCTGCTGTCCGGGATGCGTGCAAGCTCTTCCGCACAAATGCTTATCCGAAGCGCTGCTGGACGTCCGAGGTGCACGGCTTAGCGCCGTACATGACCAAGCGATTGCGGGCTATGGCTCATGCGTCCAGCCGTTCGCCCCAGAAAGGTACTTGTTGCACCACGGCCCCCCGTCTCACTTACGGCCCTGGGAGCGACCCTGCCCAGGCTCATGTGCGGAGGGTCGTCAGCATGTGGTACAGTAGAACGGCTGGGGGGGGGTCTTCTTTTTGACCGCATCCGCACATCTTGGGCTAAGTCTCTTGAGCTCGTGCGACGTGGATGGGGGTTCGTTCGAGGACCGATGGGAGCCTTCCAAGCCACGCTGATTATCTCTCGGCTGGGAGTGCCCTTCGCCGTCTGAGGTGCACGAGCCCACCGGGGAAGTCTGGCGGATGGTGGGCTCGGGCGAGGGCCCCGTGGCCGCGCTCCTCGAGGCCTTCGAGGCCGGTCTTGACGCTAAACATTGGCGCGCTGCCTCGGCCTTTCATGACGGAGGCGGCGCTGAGAACGGCGTCGAATGGACGCGCGTGGCGAGACTCATTCGGCGCGTAGCGGAAGACGGTGATTTGACGCTGTCCAGCATGATTCGGCTAGTCGCATGCGGCGGTTATTGGCCAGAGGAGCGCAAGCACTCTGCTAAGATTGCTCCTGATCTTTTGTGCCAGCAGTGCCTTTCATCTGTTGACTCGTCCTGTCATGCCTTTTGGAGTTGCTCATGCCACGCCACCTCTTCTTGTGAGCACATTTCCAAGAGCAATGAGCTTCGCCAGCAGGCCCTTGACGGCATTGGTCAACACCCTATGGTTTGGCGTCGTGGTCTCATTCCCAAGGATTGGTTACGTCTCCCAGGAGTTCCGGAGGATCGGGCGTTGGAGTTTTTCTGATGCTGTGATGGCCCTCTTCCGGGAGGAATGTACGGCGCCGATGGCGCTGGAGGGCCCCATGCCACCGACCCCATCCTGCGCCGGGTGGCGTTTGGCTTCGCGCGCTTGCGCATTGTTGCTGATCTTGATTGGGATTGTGGGTCGCACGGATTGCTGGACAGTCAACGTCAGACAGTTCCGCGCGCTGAGTTGGTTGCCATTGTGGAGGTGGTGCGTCGCGTGGCACGAGATCAGAACTTGACGGTGGTCACCGACCACATCAATCACCTGAAAGCATTTCGGAAGGGACGTCATCACACCCTTCGGTTGCAGAATGCTGATCTGTGGTGGGAGCTCTGGCAGCTGCTCGAATTGCGGTCTGGCATGGTTGATTTAGTTTACACGCCTAGCCATTGTGCCGATGATGAGGCGAAGCTTACTCGTCTGGCAGCTTCTTTGGTACCGCCATCATCTTTTAATCAATGCGATCGCGGATGCTCTGGCCACGGCGCGGGCGGCGAACGCCCAGATCCCGGCCGATGTTGTTCGTGAAGTTGTTGATTTTGAAAATCTGGCTTGCCGCATCTTGCGACGTAATGGTTCCATCACATTGGAACGAGCCACGGCCCCCAAGAATCCAGAGCGCATAGTGCATCGTGCCCGGCTTCCGCGAGTGGTCCGCCGGCGGCAGGTTGTGATTGCACTTCTTGAGGCTTCCAGCCATGGTTTCAAGCCCGTAGCCAAGGACATATGGAGGTGCACAGCGTGCAACAAACTGTTGCAACCCCCCGCTCGCATGTTTTTCCGAACGGTTCGTTCGAAGTGTGCGGCCCTTGTCCCTTGTGCACACTGCGCATCCCACGCCTGAGCGTCCACGGCGGGCTAGAGGGCGGCGAGCGGGGGGCTCGCAGGTCGGCAAAGCACCAATCGATGATGACCTTTGGTGTAGGCTTGGAATGACCGACCCCCCTCGACGTTTGCCTGCCCCTGCCTACGTCCACGGGCACAGGGTGCATGACAGCCACGCTGCCTGGAGTAAAGGTCGCTTCACCTTCTGTGGCTTGTGCGGATGCTGGGCTGAATCTAAGCCTCGCGAATTGCGCATGGAGTGCCGAGTCGCCTCGAACGGCCCGGCGGCCCTCACGGCATATAACTGTGAGGCGCTGGGGAAGCTCAGGCAAGGCAAACCCCCTAAGAAAAAGTGTCTTGATTGGGGGAGCGCCCTCGATACGCTCATCGACTTATAATCAACAATTTTCACCTGCTTGGCAATCTCTTCGGAAGCTTGACGGGCAGCGGTCCACAGCAAAAAAAAATCCTCCTCGTCCTCCTCCTCCTCCTCCTCCTCATCCCTCCTCCTCCCTTGTCCTCTTCCAGAAGGGGATCTTCAGCGACGCTTCCGTTCTTCGATCCTCGCCGGCCGCGGCGGCACGACTGGCGGCCGAGCCGGGCGGAGTTCGCTGCCTCGGCGGGGCGCGCCGCGCCGCCTGCGAGGTCGCGGCGGGCCCTGGGGCTGGCCCCGCCTCCTGCGAGGAGGACGCCTACACACACTGGATGGGGCGAGAATCGCGCCCCCCACGCACTTTTTGATCTGCGGGGCGAGAGCGAACCTCTTCCGCTAAAGGCTAGGCGGGCTACGCGCAGCTTTCATTAGGGAGACAGGGCACAACGCGCCCCCCACGCACACCCTTCCAGAATATGAAACAGAGTGAAATGAAATGAAGTGGCATGAGTGACATAGAAGGGGGAACCCCCTTATATGAGCGTGGCGAAGCTACGCTGAGTGTAGCGCTGAGCTCAAGGCTACCCGGTCCACCTCAAGCCAGGTGGACATCACACGACACCCGGATGGCCCATCTCTTTGACATGTATTTCATGCGTAATCACGTTCCAGCATGTTCCATGGCTATAAACGATGGGGCCAGAGCAATTGAATGATGGAACTTCTATCTGAATACCACACTACTAATATTGCAGCGACGAATAATAACAATGACAAAACTTACTGTGGCAATTATTAGTCTTACGTAACTTAGGCAAGTTGCATATGTAATGTTTATGTTTGAATATCCTAAGGTGTACCAATCATAGATCACATGTAGAGATACCTAAACATATAGATCTTATAATTGTAGCATTCACACTCATTCGCATGCGTTAAGTAAAGATAGTGAAGAGATACACCTCGGTTGATATGTGAAGTAAGTATGAGCATGTGACGACGAATACACAATTACGATTACTTATGTCAGGAGTATAGACTAGGCCAATGAATCAATATCCCCTATAAGAGATAGTGGGTAGTTCTGGTGTAATAATCGTTCCCACCGTTGTCATAGATAGTCAATGGTACGTTACACTGGAACCACTTATCAAACCAGAACTACGATGTTGATCCATGGCATAGCAACATGAAGTGCCATTTGCAACCAAAATAATAGTGTGATAAGCCTCGGGATGAGTATTCCTTATTAGGATACAGCAGCCTGAGTCCTAGGCTTCTCACTTTATCATTCGTGTTACAAGTGGTACTTCATGTCTGTGCATCCTGGCCCCTGCATCAAATGCAGTATGGCCCACCTACGATGGAGCATGGACGAAGATGCACGGCGCCTCCCATCGCCTGACCGCGGCCCAGTTTCACACCATATGTGTGTCAGGCGATGGGAGGCACAAAACTTCCAGCACCTCTACGCATCTCATACGTAGGGGTGCCAGAAGTTTTGTGCCTCCCACGGCCTGTTACCTACTACTACTACTACTACTACTGGTGCTGCTGCTGCTGCTGCTGCTACTGCTACTACTACTACTACTACTACTACTACTACTACTACTACTACTACTACTACTACTACTACTACTACTACTACTACTACTACTACTACTACTACTACTACTACTACTACTACTACTACTACTACTACTACTACGACTACTACTACTACTACTACTACTACTACTACTACTACTACTACTACTACTACTACTACTACGACTACTACTACTACTACTACTACTACTACTACTACTACTACTACTACTACTACTACTACTACTACTACGACTACTACTACTACGACTACTACTACTACGACTACTACGACTACTACTACTACTACTACTACTACTACTACTACTACTACTACTACTACTACTACTACTACTACTACTACTACGCTACTACTACTACTACTACGACTACGACTACGACTACTACTACGACTACGACTACGACTACGACTACTACGACTACGACTACGACTACGACTACGACTACTACGACTACTACTACTACTACTACTACTACTACGACTACTACTACTACTACTACTACTACTACTACTACTACTACTACTACTACTACTACTACTACTACTACTACTACTACTACTACTACGCTACTACTACTACTACTACTACTACTACTACTACTACTACTACTACTACTACTACTACTACTCACTACTCACTACTCCCTACTACTACTACTACTACTACTGCAACTACTGCAACTACTGCAACTACTACTACTACTACTACTACTACTACTACTACTACTACTACTACTACCACTACTACTAACGTAGGTAAAGGTTTGGGAGGCGCCCCAACCCAAACCCATGCTATCCGTATGATAGCATGGAAACGGACGCTGGGCCCCGTAGGTGCCCAGCATTGTCACGGTACTCCGTAACCTGTTCGACTTGCGTTGGGCGGCACGACCCGTTCATCCCAACCCCACATCTACCCATGGTATGTGTGGGGTTGGGATGGACGGGCCGTCCATCCCAAGCCTCTTGTCTCTGGCCTGAGAAACAAGATAAGGGGTTGGGATGGACGGCGCCTCGCAACCCCGACACCCATCAGTAGGTGGTATTGTGAGGCGCCGTCCATCCCAACCCCTTACCTGACGGGTTCGCGCCGTCAGGGGCTTCGGATAGGCCGCACATCGCCCACCAACATCCCTAAGGGATGTTCCTGATAGTCGGCCATGTTCAAAGACCATGGCCGACCTTACCCTACGGGTGAGGTCAGGGTGGTCAATGGGCGGCACAAAACTTCCGCCACCCATACCAACGGATATTGGTAAGGGTGGCGGAAATGTTGCACAAAACTTCCGGCACCTCCATCTCTCTGTTATGGAGGCGCCGGAAGTTTTGCGCCCCCTGGTCCCAGTGTACCCTACTGTAAGGTAGGAGATCCTACCCTGATAGGGGTAGGGTGGGGCCTGCAGGCGACGTCCATCCCAACGTCCACCTATAGGTATATGTGGACGTTGGGATGGACGGCCCAGCCCCAGCCCATCAGGCACCCAAAGGGTACCGCACCATAGGTGCCTGATGGGCTGGGGCTGGCTCCATCAAAAGCCCAAGCTGCATCAAATGCAGTATGCTCTTCGATTATCGTGGGCGATTGATGGAATCATCGGTAAGTTTCATGGCACTTACCTATATAGAACACTAAGAAGCAAATTATCTAAGTTCCAGATAAGACACAAAAGACAAGACCTCCTATCCATGAGCATCCGGTGCGTCGTTTCTGGACTCCGACCATTTGCTTACTAGTTCTGCCCCAACTATAGAACAAACTAGGTTGACTATGGCTAGGTATTTCTTTCGCTCATCTCATTCCTACTCCGTATTAATATCATTAAACTTCACTTCGTATTCGTCCACAAGTTGTTGATTATTGGTTTTTATAACCATGCGTCCATGGTATGGTTTCCGCCAACCACCACGTATCCAGACACGTGGTCGCGAAGGTTCGAGTAGCCGACAGCCTACGGTTATCGGCTACGCCTCGCGAGGCACGAGCCCCCCAACATTCACTCATATGTTTGTTTAACACTAGTGGGGGGTGGAGGAAGAGGAAGAGGAAGAGGAGGAGCAGGATTTTTCTGATTTCGACGCTGATTAAGCTGTGAGTGGGAATCGCAAAAACAGGCGGGGGTAAAACAGGTGGCATCTTGCACTGCGTCCTGACGTGGACACTGCCTCACACGCATCGACTAACAGAGGTCGGGGGGAACCCTCCCGAACTGACTGTCTCCATGCACATTGTTTGTAGCAGAACCATTCCTCATCCTTCTTCCCGTCCCTTGCCCACGCCACAAAAACACATGCTTAAAGTAGCTGATTAAACCAGAATCGGAGATATCCGGGAGCACGCCTGCCATCCGTGCTACGACCCAATCGTCCTAAGGATAGCTCGGAGATCCATGTCTGCCTGGGCAGGAGGGGGAGGATGAGGGAGGGGGGATGAGCAAGCTCAGTCAGAAGGTGAGCCACCCCACCAGACTACCCCAAAACGTCGTGAACAAGATCACCACGGGAGGTCTTGGCCGTTATCGGCCCGAGGTTCGAGGCTAAAAGATTTCGGGCGTGTTCGTCAGTTCGCGGCGGTGTTCAGGCCTCGGGATGCTCTCCAACAGCTGCGCCTCGCAGAGGGCGTTCCAAGGATGCCCGGATCGCCCCGAACAGCCGCTGGAGAGACGAGCTATGGCCCGTAAACCGAACACGTGCTAGCGTCGTAACACAACCGTGGCGGTAAATGTTGGCCGGTTTCAGCCTGCGGGGGCCCTCGCTGGGCCCCGGGATCGCCAGAAAATAGCTCGGGATGAACCCGGGATCGCCCAAAAACAACCCGGGATTGAAAGCCAGCCCCTGAAGGAGTCGGGGCTTCTGGGGGTTCCGCATTGGATATCGTTTGTCGAAACAGCCACCCTGTTACCACAAGGGACGCTGTATGGGCAACGAAATGGTTTTTCTGGCCTCGGCTAGCCTCGGCCACGCACAGGTTCCCCGACCGAGGTGTACGGAGCGGCCCGAGCACCATAGCCCCTCCTGAGCCCAACGTGACCCCGTCACTCCGCGTATCGACTCCGCGCGCACCGATCCTGGCCAGGCCCGTCCTGGGCCCAGGGTCAGTGCGTGCAGGGAAGCTGGAAGCTGGAAGCCCACAGAAGTTTTTTTTCCAAACGGCAACGTGATGCAGCTGATTAACGCAAGTCGCTTATGGTCACTCCGCCGTGCCCTCAAGGGGCCTCTTCGCCTGCGACGGTTTACAACCCGGCCAGGCAAGAAGCGGGTCTCACGCAAGATGGAACAGCGACGATACGCCGCGACTCGCGCGGGCCGCCGGCGCGGCACGCCGCGTGGGAACGAGGGCGCTCGCGCGCGGCCCTGCGCGGGCGGCTTGCGCGCGAACGTCGGCGCAGTCGATCCCGTGCTTCTGCGTCGCTCACGCAGCTGGACTCTTTTTTGGTCTGCAGGGCGAGAGCGAACCTCTTCCGCTGAAAGCTAAGCGGGACGCGCACAGCTTTAATCAGCAGAGAAGGGCGCAAGAAGGCGGGGCCTCACGCAGCCACGTAGCTGGACTCACGTGAGGAACACCTCGAGGCCGGGCGCTGGCTGCACACAAGGCAGAAAAGCCTGGCCTGCACGGCCACGGGCCGCGCAGCCGGGAGACATCGCGCCGCGCGTGCGTCCAGCTCTCGCCCAGTGCGGGGCCCAAAAATATGCACCAC